CATATCGTCGGCTTGTTCGGGTCAGACACTTTAACTCAGAGTTATGGCCCTTGATTAGTTATGCAATATGCATATGGAGTAAAAATCGTTTCCGGAGTACTTCTCTGCAACTACTGGCTGGAATTCAACGAAACTTTATGGGAATCATCAATATCAAGAGGAGATGCGCATATCGTCGGCTTGTTCCGGTCAGACACTTTAACTCAGAGTTATGGCCCTTGATTAGTTATGCAGTATCCATATAGAAAAATATTTGTTTCCTCGCTACTTCTCTGCTACTTCTGGCTGGAATTCAATGAAACTTTATGGGATACTAAGAGGAGATGTGCATATAGTCGCCTTGTTCCTTTTAGATACTTATAACTCAGATTTATGGCCCTTGATTAGTTATGTAGTATGCATAAATCTCATTGGCATTTCCAGATTTTACTATTTAACACAAAGTTATGGCTCTGTTATTGCCCTGAATATTTATCAAGTTCAAAGAATATTACTGTTTATGCCATGATTAATATATAAATAAAGCCTTATGTCTTCAGTTGTTGTGTTAATAATAACCAGTACTCGGCGGGGGATATAAATTCAACGAATTTGCTTGTTGAATAATGTACTGTGTTACTAACACTTATCTCTTTAATAATTGAGGCAACAAATAAGGTTGCAAACAATCATATATACTAATTGAGTACAATATGTATTTGGCAGGGATTGTTTTGAACTTTGAAATGAAAACGAGAGTAACGTTTGAACCATTAATGATTGGCGTCCGCGCCGAAGCGCGGCGCCCTTATGGAATGAAATCAGATTTTGTGAAAGGGCGACAGCAACTTCTCGAGCCTTATAGTCGGTCATGATAAAAGCCGATCATTCCGATCGGTATGAGGGTGCTTGATTAAAAAAAAAGTCAATTAATAGCGAACTGGAGAATTTCGCAATGCATGAAATAACCTTTTCCGTCTCTTCGTTTTTCTTATTATCATTTTGTAGTACACAATGGGTTATTATGGTATGTTAAAATAGAATGATGAGTTGATGACCTAAACATTCCGAAAATCTATTTATAGAGGGATGTACTGCTATCGGTAATTCCCGGTCTCTCCCGGTCTATTTTGACCGGGATTGACTAGTGACCGGCGAATAGTACTACACGTTTATTGTCCGGTCTCTCCCGGTTTTGGAGTAGATGTTTGATATCGTTACGTACAGAACAGAACAGATATTTTACAGATAAATAAGCTTTTTCCAAAATGAATGTTTGTCACTTAGTTTGGTTACAATAATTAATAAACATAGATCAACTCTAAAATTTATTGATTATTATTATACATAAACATACAATTCGAAAAAACCCCAACAACAACAACAATAGCATGTTTCATTTTATCTATATGAGATAAAAACAATAAATATGTACAATGATTGAGAAAAAGGTACATTGTTATGGTATAAATATGACACTATCAACTTTGAAACATTTTATTTAATTTGTTATTCGTGTTTAGTAAAGATGCCCAGGAATTATTCAAAGTTACAAATCAGATTTTATGAATTATTTAATTGATTGATAATTTAAAAAAAATGATAAAGAAAAATACAAATGTACATGGTTTAAGAATAAGCAATATTGTATATTGAAAGATAAGCCATATTTTACTGACTTTTTCCAGTTAAGTTTTGACTTATAATCGTCGGTCAATATGACAATTGAATTCTTAAAATTTATTTTACAAATTTAATAAAAAAAGAGTAGTAAACGTGAAAACTCAGTATTAAAATAGCACATAAAACACGAAAAAAGAGAAGAAAACAATATTCATAAAATCTGTATTTTTTATATTAAAATAGATATTACAATTATTGTATAATAAACAATTATGCTCGACATGATCAACATGGTAATATAACCAGTGTCATATTACAGAACAGATACCTTAATTAAGAGGGGGTCTTCGCTAATAGCGATAACATAATAAGAGACAATTCCACAAGTGTGGTGTTGATCATGCGTTACACATATGGATTATAAATGATTTTATACATGTATACATGTATATCCGTTGCTATTAATAATCACGATCATAAAGAAATAACAAGTTATATTCTAATCTCTAGCATGACAATCAAAGTTCATAATGAACAATGTCTTTCGTCCGTTCATTCTGGTAAAAAACCAATTAACCATTGAAAAGTTCATAAGAATATCTTGTCATCATATGTCTACTAGTTCATCTTCACTTTCTGCATTTCTTGCTTGGACGCCCTTTGATGCTTTGCATCAATGCTTTTCTTGTTTATATTGGAACAATATGTGGTGCAGATCCACGAAGGTACAATGTACTTGTTTACATTTTATGACGAAACAAGTTTCGGTTTATGCTACGCTGAAAACAAGCGACATTATGTGATAAAATGCACAGACACTTGGGGTTTGGAGCTCAAAACGCCTTTAAAATCCAAATAAAATGCATATTTGTCAATCCCAGCACATGTACTGATCATATATATCAAAAAAACTTAATATAAGCCGTTTTGAAAAAATTTCATATTTCAACATCTATGTTGAAATATGAAATTTTTTCAAAACGGCTTATATTAAGTTTTTTTGATATATATGATCAGTACATGTGCTGGGATTGACAAATATGCATTTTATTTGGATTTTAAAGGCGTTTTGAGCTCCAAACCCCAAGTGTCTGTGATAAAATGATGATATATATTATATCAGGGTCTTTCAAATAGAAAGACCCTGATTATATGGAATGCTTTTTCACATGTCATGACAACATGCCAGTTTTGTAATTTATGCTAAAATGTACCTTTTTGAACTTTGCTTTGATGTGTATAATTTGTAATAAAATATACAGGCATGTCGATTATTACATATTAAAGAATAAATGTTAACGCAGATACGTTTTCACTGTGTGTGAATTATCACGGATATACCGTATATTTATGGTTCTCCACTTGAATGAATGACAGAATATATACCAGTAAACATAGCAAAGAAATTTAGTAACTGGATCAATGAGTTTATTCAGACAAGAAGCCAGCCCGTGCAGAATTAAAATGTACCTTATGACACTCAGTAAAAAATCAGTTTAGGTTATAACTTGTATAATTAGGAAACTCGATCCGTCACCCTAGACACAACAATGTTTTGGTGTGTTAGTAAACATCTTGGCGCCTTCTCGGTTTAATACGATATATCAGTATTAGTTTTAAAGATAACTGTACATGAAATTATATAATAAAATTTATCAGTCAATATTTATCTATTAAAATGTTATATCTATCTTCCATTAATGTCAAACCCCTTGGGGGACGTAGAAATGTCTGAGCGTCAAAAATCGCGAGAAAGTTAAAAAGAGTTGGCTGAGACATGTTTGATGAAAGCTATGGTAGCACTGAACTGCTCTGGGCTACTAGTAGGGCAATTGCAGGGGGTAGGTGGTTCCAGTGGTATACCGACTCCTAGGAAAGAATGAGAATTTATAATAGTCTGAAGTGGCTGAGAATAACCTATAACATAAGGAATGGCCATGGCGTGATATTCTGGACAGAGGTGTCAAATATTCTTCTATAGGGATAGCATCCAGACCATGGTGAATCTTATAGAGAAGGGATAACCTAGCATCCATACGTCTGAGTTCCAGTTTTCGAAGGTTAAGGGGGTGAAGCATGTCCGTGACGCTAAAGGTCTGACCATAGTCTAGCTTAATCCATGCTCTTTGCTGCTCTTCTTTGGACATTTTTCGATTTGATCTATTAGAGTTTTTGGTGTGGGGAGAACCATACTTCGGACCCATATTCAAGCTGGGGTCTGACTGACATCTGGTAAGCGATGGACTTAATGGATTGGGATTTAACCTGTATGTTTCTGCGAAGGAATCCTTGGGTTTGGTTTGCTTTCTTGGATGTCCTGTCTATATGGGCATCCCATGTGAGGTTTTCTGATATATCCACGCCTAGGTATTTAGCTGAGGTAACCGATTCAAATTGGACTCCATGAAAGTAGTATTGTGTTGGAATAGGATGTTTCCTTTTTTGTGACGTGGATAACTTGATACTTGGAGGGGGTTAAATTCCATATCCCACTCCAACTCCCACTTTTCTAACCGATTAAGGTCATTTTGGAGGGTGGCTGATTGGTTTGCAGACATCAGAGCAATGCATATATATAGTCGTATCGTCTGCAAACAAGCGGACTTGGGAATTTATGTTATGTGGGAGGTCATTTATATAGGCAAGAAACGGGGAGGGGGCCTAGAACAGAGCCTTGGGGACACCTGAGGATACTGCATGGGATGGGATTTGAGCAGCTGCCATTCAGCACAACAGACTGCTGCCTGTTATCAAAAAACTTTTGACCCATTTTAAAGTTTGACCTCTGATTCCATAGTCATGTTATTTTCAGCAGTACTTTCTCATGGCTGAAAGCCTTACTGAAATCTAAAAGAATCAGATCTACTTGTTTTTTCTCATATACTGACGTGGCCAGGTCATTTATCAACATTACAAGTTGCGTAACACATGAGCTTTTTTCCATGAAACCATGTTGGAGGTGGTAGAGGATGTTATGGTTGGTGAAGTGTATAACAATGGAGGAGGAAACTATGTGTCCCATAACCTTACACAGAACACACGTTAAGGAAATTGGCCTATGATTTGCAGGGACTACCTGTCGCCTTTCTTGAAGATTGGGGCTACATAGTCAGATTTCCATTGGGATGGCAACTAGCCTTCATCATTGGACTTTCGGAAGATAACCTCTTGGATTGGAGAGAGCTCTTTGGAAAGTGTGTTGAGAACAATTGGTTTAATTTTATCTTGACTACAGGCCTTATGATGTTTTATGTTATTGAGAACTTTCTCAGAATACATATATTTTTTGTATGTTGAAAAAAGTTGTCATAATGTTACATCAAGCAATGCATGTCAAAAGGAAGAAAACGGACTTAAGTCTTAATATATTTAAATGTGTATTTGTGATATGTTTTCAGAGCCTTGCTGAATGTCGGACAGCAAGCATCCTAGTGAAACTTCAACTCCTGTGGGGACAAGTACAGCGTGTTTTTAGATCAGTTGGGAAACGGTGTGCCGACAGGCTCCAACATATGGGCTCAGCTTGTAACAATAAGTTAGTAGAACTTGATATGTTTTCTTTCCATCTTATATATAGATTGATCATTCACGCGGTGCTCAGTAGATACCGTTACCCATGTGCTTAAGCTTCTAGCCATACTCCATTAATTAATAAATTATATTTATCTGTTCAAAAGTATACATGTATCTGAGCAAAAAAAAAAGTTGCCTCTATAATTGTTCAAATTATTTGCATATCTATGCCACTAGAATACAATTCATTCTCAACTGGAAAAAATCTGATTTATGTTCAATGTACATATACTGAATGTACTATCTAAACTGCAATCCAGCCGATTGTAAAAAATGGACACTCCGTATTATATATCATGCTATAAAATAAGATATGCATATGCCGAATATCCATTTCAAGTGGTTAGTTAACAGCTGCTATACATCGTATGTTGTGATCAGCTTTATCGTATGAAATAACGGCAGTTCAACATTACAGTGTCTTAAATGGCGTCTCTCAAACAGTCTTTTTAAAGGCGCCAACTATATTTTCGTCGTATTTACTGTAGCATCCCTCTCTATGACTGTACTGTAGAGAGGCCGTAATCCACAAAGAAAGTTACATACATGTATCTCCCTCCATAAAATAAGGAGCTCGGGACACATCATGCCTACACCTATACATGCTAATATATAGGTAAATCCCAGCCCAGACATACTACTACAAGTTCTCATTCTTTCCAACAATAATCTTCTACTCTATAGAACACCCATCATTGTCCTATTGCCTTCATTTGGCATGTTCAATGCGGCCACTTTGAGCACTATTAAACAGATATCCAGATTGCTTAATATACTTTAAAAAAAATTGACACCACCTTTTTCAAATGTACGTTATAGTTTGGTTCTTTTACCTTTCTTCGGATTGACGCGAGGGCTGTTTTCTTCCTGGGGTTAAAAGGAATGTACTGTACATAGATCTAAAAAGGGCTTTTCAAATGTCTTTTTAAAAAAAATCCCGATCTCTGCTGGTGCTTGAATCGTACGCGGAAATTTATCATAAGCTCCGATACATGTTGTTTATTCGGATTGAAAATTCGTTGTAACATTTCAAATTTTTATCTTTTAAAGAAAATTATAAGTTGCGTTAATATTTAGTGGTATGTAGCCTTAAATGTGTACCGGATGCGGAAAAATTGAGATTATCAGAACGAGGCTATTTCCGCCATTGCCAAAACAAATGCATGTGTGATTCATCAGTGATCATAATTTGTGTCACAGCTAGATTTCTAATTAGTTAATGACTGTATGTTAACGAATTTCAGTATGGCAGACTATCTTATTACTGGCGGAACAGGGTACGTACCAGATGATGGTCTAACAGGTGCCCAGTTGTTCTCACACGGTGATGGATTCACGTACAAGTGAGTAGCTTAACTCACAGGGGGAAGACGCTGTGATCTGACATTAGCCCGGCCCCCTCCCCCCAATGGCCCTGCTACAACCCATAAAAAATATCAATGGAAGTTGATTTGCACAATAAAAATACATAAAAACAATATTCTGACACGTTTCGACGATTTTCATTATATTCCTATACTATAAGTTATAACAAGGGTACCGTCTTCTATGCGCTTTGATACTGCCCAAGTTCATATCTAGCGTCGAAACTCAGCCAAACTCAATATAATTTTATAAACATGGTCTCGATCAATGCAGCATTGATAAATGTATGTAATAACAACAGTCAACTTTGGAAATGTTGGCAACTTATTTTGATACAACTCCCGAAATTGCCGGTGACTTGAAATCTGACAAGATCTGATTCACGTAAACATTGAAATGTTTACGACTGAATTGCATCAGAAACGCTAAAATGCGTAGAAAATTTAATTGCATCTGCTAAAACAAAATATTCAATAAACCTTACCACAAAAATACACTCGGAATCTATTTCCTATCGTGGCGTAACGATCAAAGTCTAATCCGATCTTCCCGTCTTTTCTCATGCCTCCATTACACAAACTTGACCCGGAAAAGGTAATGCACAACTCTGTATGGTTCTCGTCCTCGCTTATACGACGGCGTCCGATTCGGTACCAGTACTTTGTAAACATAAACACGTGTTAATATAGCGCCAATTTCGAAAGTTTGTCTAGAACTGTTTTTGCACATTTTCTGTCGATATAGTACAGAAATCACAAAATGTCAATAGTTTCCTGGTAAACACATTAATAAAACACTGTATTTGTACACTGGAGCTGCCAATATTTTAAACACGTGATTATGTTTACAAAGTACTGGTACCGAATCGGACGCCGTCGTATAAGCGAGGACGAGAACCATATAGAGTTGTGCATTACCTTTTCCGGGTCAAGTTTGTGTAATGAAGGCATGAGAAAAGACGGGAAGATCGGATTAGACTTTGATCGTTATGCCACGATAGGAAATAGATTCGGAGTGTATTTTTGTGGTAAGGTTTATTGAATATTTTGTTTTAGCAGATGCAATTAAATTTTCTATGCATTTTAGCGTTTCTGATGCAATTCAGTCGTAAACATTTCAATGTTTACGTGAATCAGATCTTGTCAGATTTCAAGTCACCGGCAATTTCGGGAGTTGTATCAAAATAAGTTGCCAACATTTCCAAAATTGACTGTTGTTATTACATACATTTATCAATGCTGCGTTGATCGAGACCATGTTTTTAAAATTATATTGAGTTTGGCTGAGTTTCGACGCTAGATATGAACTTGGGCAGTATCAAAGCGCTGGAAGCGCATAGAAGACGGTACCCTTGTTATAACTTACAGTATAGGGATATAATGAAAATCGTCGAAACGTGTCAGAATATTGTTTTTATGAATTTTTATTGTGCAAATCAACTTCCATTGATATTTTTTATGGGTTGTAGCAGGGCCTTTGGGGGGAGGGGGCCGGGCTAATGTCAGATCACAGCGTCTTCCCCCTGTGACTTAACTTAAGCTTAAGCCTTAAGGTCTTCAGCGTACCATTTTTTATACTATGGCATGACGTGAACGCTGAAGACAGACCCGTAGGGAAAGTCCACAAATAATTGTGCCAGAAATCTGACACGCTCGTATTCATTCTTCGGACATGCCGTGAAGTAAAGTCATGGAGTTGAATAGACTGTGGTAAAGTGAAACATATCTTGATAAAACCACAGTGGATTCTGTCATTTTTTCCTTTCCCACTATACTGGTTGGGGAGATAACTTCAGCTGGTTGATAAACTCGGCTTTTTATAATTTAATCAACTTATCGGCTTTTTTAATGTAATCAAGCTGACAATCTCGTACAAACGCTGGAATTCGACAATATCTGGAAATTTTGTCAAGTTTGGTAAGATATTTAAAAAATAGCACAGACAGTTACCCGTTTGTTTAAAAAACATGCCTATAAATAGTACGGGAAATCCGATTACTGTACGCATGCGCAGTAGATGCTCATTTTGAGGCCCGTACAGGGTTACTTTTATATTTTGACCGACTACCGGTAAAGCAGACGATGTTCACGGATACATTTTGTACATGAATTCAGACTCAATTTTGTCTTGCAAACTCAGAAAAAGTCCTATTGCACAAATAATCACAAATGTAATCTTTTCGTGCAATGGATTGACAAACTGATGTTAAATGCTCCTTTATATGTTTTGTGTAGGTTGAATACCACTAAATTAATTTCTTCTTCACTCTGTTAAATTACGAAGTTACCCAAGCCAAAATACATTTGAATCACTAATTCTAAAAATACATATTTCGTATGTTAATAAATGAAAATGCATGTATTTTTACAAAAAAGTATCGAGTTTTTTGTTGTTTTTTTACATAACATTGTATAAAAGTAACAGTCCTTATTGAAAATTTCTGATAAAAAATATTTTTTTATAATTTGACATATATGAATAGCAAAGGAATAATGAAATGTCTAAACATGTTATTCTACGTTTTAATTTACTCATTAAAAATTATTTAAGAAGAAAAACAAAGAGCCGAAATTATCTACTCGCGCATGTTAAAAATGTGCTTTTTACGTACCTCTTCCAGGGCCTCTCAAAATTACCCGTCTTGTTTCTAAATATAACTTTTATGGTGATACCGGAAAATCAAAGAGCTGAAGTTTATTATGTTGCAAGATTCATCAGAATATGTAAACAAATAAATGAAATATGCCCCAAAAACACCGATTTTCGGCCGAGTTTATCTCCCAAACCAGTATATATAATATAACAAGGGATACAACTCAAAATTGTTCACTTCATGAAAAAGTAAATAGAACGCAGTATACAACATTTTTTTTTCTTTTGATTGTTGGACACTGATGAAAGAATCGATAATTAAAAAAAAATGACTCACTTTGTTACATGGACAAGATATTATTAAAAATACCCTTTCAAATTTCATTTTTACACACGTTCGTAAAATTTGTTTGTAAAATTACACTTGTAAAACGACATCTAATGCAAACGTATGTTCATATAAGAAAGTTTAATCATGTAATCGGTTAAATATCAATCATCCACCACCATCAATGATGCAATCATTAACTTCTGGTACAAATTATTGTAACAATTTTTGTTTGTTTTGATAATTTCTATCCTCGGCTTCCATTTTGATGTTGCCCGTATGTTTCATGCGTAATTCCAACTTCTGTTAGTGACTGTCAATTTCATTGGTTAATGAATAATAATAAACCAGATAATAACGGCGTATAGCCGCGACGAATTGCGTTTTTTTCATCAGCCAATGAAAATACGCGAAACTTAAACACACCTGCAAAATGGACGACAACTTGACAGCCAATGTAAATATTGAAATGTTAGCTATTTCCTACAATGTTACAGGTTTTAATGATGTGTTTGTAGTAGAACTTGGGTTATGACTCGTTCATATATGTACTTCTACAATAACTTTGATGGAATAGAGGATATTTTATACAGTTTACACATGTGAATGCATTTTACGAACCCGTGCTGGTAGTGCGAGGTCACGACTTGTATCCCTTGTATATATTATATATATATAGAGAGATTTAATAAAATAATGACAGATTTCCCTGTGGATAAAACTAGAGTCACCGTAGCAGTGCTCAACCATTTTTTCACAAAATCACATAAAAACTCTTTCAGAACAAAAAGTTTGCTGGGAAACTTATTTTTGTTACAAAGCTGGCCGTTTCAAACTCACAATAAGCTAAAGCTTTTTAATTACACAGATCAGGATACAATTTACCACGGAGTTGTATACAGGGTATAAAACCACTATATTTTTCAGGCAACCAAACCAGTGCTCGACCAGATGGTTTTATCTCTTTCAGAACTTTTATTTTATAAAAACAGATATGACTTTTAATGTTCAACAATTCTATTTCAAAAATATTTTGAAACATTATTGTTTTAGTGTCTATAGATGTAAATATGAGAGCAAATATGATATGAAGGAAATGCTATACATTGACAAATGAAGTGTATATAAGAGTTTTGGAATTTACATATACTGGGGTGTTTGAGATTACTTATTTTCATATTTTTTTTACTAAACTCACTCTGCAAACATAGCTAAGTGTGATAATTGGTGTAATATACATGGTCTACGCTTTTAGTGGTGTGTTCCCGATTTGTTTCCTTACAGCTGCCATATTTGTTTACATGTTCATAGCCCCAGTCTTTTATGGAAGGCAGGGTTTTGATGAATTTTGGTTACCTTTCTTATGGAAATCAATTGGAATAATAAGAGTAAAGGCAATTTAACAAAGTGTTGTCCTAAATTATCATTATTTCAGTGTTTTAAATAGTTTTTACTGCTACTTTTATTATAGAAATGTATTTTTGTACTGTTTAATATTGTCTGCAAAATGGCCAGTCTTCTACCAAACTTTGGGTACTTGTACAAGGTGTATAGGTTACAGGTCAGGTACAAATAACACACACAAACTCCTAGGGTTTTTCTACTTTAATGCATAAATCGTACACAAATAGAAGTATTGGTCGAGCATTGGGCTGGTCGAGCACAGGTACTGTGACTCTATATATAATCTGTTGATAAGCCAAGGATGGACAAATATAAATCTTATTATGAACGTAAACTAGTTAATAGTTTCCAACAGGTGAAAAATTCAGCACTTGGCCACCATATTGTCAAAATATTTGACCACGTGATTACGAGGTTGACCTTGCTTCCAATTTTTAGCTCGACTATACGAAGTATATGGAGAGCTGTCCTACTCGCCCCGGCGTCCGCGTCCAGATTTTAGATTAAAGTTTTGGTGCAGTAAAATATTTTTCACTATAACTTTGTCATTTCTTAAGGTATCAACTTCAAACTTCAAATATATCTTCCTTATCATCAACCACATCATATGTGACAAGGTTCATAACTCTAGCACCAATATTTTCAGATTTATCTCCCCTTGAACTTAGAATTTTCCTTAAAAAATACTATTTTTTACTGTTACTTCCTTATTTCTGAAGGGATCAACCTCATACTTCAAATATATGTACCTTATCATCATCCCATCTTATGTGACAAGGTTCATAACTCTAGCACCAATAGTTTCAGATTTATCTCCCTTGAACTTAGAATTTTCCTCAAAAAGTACTATTTCTTACTGTTTCTTCTTTATTTCTTAAGGGATCAACCTCATACTTCAAATGTATTTACGTTATCATCATCCCATCTTATGTGACAAGGTTCATAACTCTAGCACCAATATTTTCAGATTTATCTCCCTTTGAACTTAGAATTTTCCATAAAAAATATTTTTTTTACTGTTATTTTTTTTATTTCTAAAGGGATCAACTTCATACTTCAAATATGTTTACGTTATCATCATCCACATCTTATGTGACAAGGTTCATAACTCTAGCACCAATATTACAAGAATTATCTCCCCATAAACTTAGATTTTTTTACTTGAAAAATGTTATTTTTTATTATAACTTTTTTATTATTATTTAGGTATCTACCTCAAATTTCAAATACTTATTCCTTATCAACAATTACATTTTATGTGAAATTGTTCATAATTCTTGATGCAATATTTACAGATTTATCTCTCTTTGAACTTAGGATTTTCTTTAAGAAATATAATAGCTTCTTTTCTTTTTAAGGTATCTGCTTCAAACTTCAAATATATGTTTCTTATCATTACACAAATGTTGTGTGACAAGGTCCATAACTCTAGCATGACTATTTCTAGCATTATTCCCCTTGATCTTGGAATTTATGTTAACAAATATTATTTTTTTACTATAACTTAATACATAATTATACATAATTGATTTTCCTTTCATAGTTTTGTCCTCCTTACTGCGTCCAGTATTTCATTAGTCGAGCTTCGCTGTCTCCTGTGACAGCTCTTGTTGGATATGAAATTAAGTGCTACCTATGGCGCGGAAAGCTCTTATGAATTATGATTTTAGCATAACATGTTTAGTGTACATGTAAACCAGATCTTTCTTACAGGTATTTTGTACCGTAAACAAAACAAATAAGTTGGTGGTGTTCAACCTATCATCGGAGTGCTCGGATATTCCGTGAATCTCCGAACGTAAAGGGGGACCACTGCGCATGCGTCGGCGTTTGGAAAATCCCATCCGCCATTTTTGTTAATCTCTAATCACAGTTGTTGTTTAAACATTATTTTTTTATGTGCTAATTTATCAAAAAGGATATGTTAAAGTAACTTTTTATATTTATTTTGTAGTTTGTACTATAGTTCTTATCAATGAAATGCATGTTTATTTTCTGATTTTCCACATTAATGATTATTCTTTCACTGGAAGTGTTATTCAGCATGCGTCTGCTAGCAATAATCTAAATTATGTAGACGCTCATTAAAAGCTCTCTGAAATCTATATTTAGCTCAAAAGGATTTCAAAATGGCAGCGTCCAGTTAACACAGCTCAGTAGGTATAGGATATATATTTTTTTGAAATTTTCATTTACTTTTAATTTGATTTCATTTGAATTGATATGCCCCGCAAGGACTTTCCGAGTATAAATTACTTTTTTCAAGATATCAATATCCACATTAAACCGGTTAAAGTCAATCAATGGCCGATGTGCATGTGGATGAGAACTGATAATGAATGTGGATTTCTCATCAGTACACGCAACATAAGTTAATAACTTGATTATTGACAAACAATCACAACTTTGCCGGGATCGAAAAAATCATTCAGAGCAACTTGTTTGTATGTATGTTAGCCTGGTATCATCAAAAGCGAAAGTGAAAGTAGATTACATAAATATACTGCAAGATAGAGGAAATTTGTTAATTTGTATTTGATTATAAGATGCACTACCCCCTCTGGATTTGAAATTTTAGTCTCAAAATGTGTCTTATAAGCAGAAATGGACAGTACATGTATGTTGATGTAACATTTTGGAAAAGTTAATATCTAAAATTATCTTGTTAAATTCTTTTTTCTTGCATTTTCAGTGATTTTCTCATCCTGCCAGGCTTTATTGACTTTTCAGCAGATGAGGTGGTGAGTATTTTATATTAATTGTAAAGGACTTCTTTTTGTGTTGTTGAAGATTATGTGTTAGACTTAAATTATCTTTAAAAGAGTGTGTTTCATTGTTGTTATAAATATTAAAACTGTATCTGAAAAGTCCTAATTTTCTGTAATTATGCCACTGCAGCATCCGCGATGCGGTGGCATATAGCGATTCACCTCTGTGTGTGTGCGTGTTTGTGTGTTATATAGATTATAAAGTGAACTTAAAAAATCTTCTTCTGAAAAACCACTTGTCCAATTTCAACCAAACTTGGCAGGATTGATCCTTGGGTAAAGAGGTTCTGAAGTTGTTCAAAGAATTTCATTCCATGCAGAAATCTGGTTGCCATGGCAACCAAAAGGAATGATAAGAATCAATTTTAAAAATCTTCTTGTAAAGACCCAGAAGGCCTAGAGCATAGATATTTTGCATAAGGCATTGTCTGGTAGACCTCTACCAAGATTGTTCAAACTATAGCCCTGGGGTCAAAATTGCATTGATTTTCACTATGTACATATAGTAAAAAATTAGAAAATCTTCTTGTCTGAAGGTACAAGGCTTAGAGCTTTGATATTTGGTGTATGATATCATCTATAGGTACTCTACCAAATTTGGGGGGCATTGATTTTCGTTATTTACACATAGTAAAAACAGAAACTAAAACAAATGTTTTCTAAATAAGAGAAAGTTACAGCTTAGATATTTTGCATGAACGTTGTTTGGTGGACCTGTATCAAGATTGTTTGAATTAAACACTTTGGTCAAAATATTGCCTTGCCTAAGGGGACAGTGACCTTCTTGTCATTTGATGTACAGCCATGAAATTTTGACCATGTGCACAGTTTTAGTTGTATAATTGAACTTTGATATCAGGTGACCTAGATTTTGATGATGTGACCTACTTTCTAGTCCTTTGATGTACAGCTGTGAAATTTGAACCATGTGCACAGATTAAGATGTAAAGTGAACTTTGATATCAGCTGACCTAGATTTTGACAAAGTGTCTTACTATGTTGTCCTTTGATGTAGTCATGAAATTTAGGCTGTGTGAAATATGACCTTCACCACCAAATTCACTAGACTCAAGTGCATTGATATATTCCTACTCTGATCTTTTATTGGATTAACAATAGATTAACAATAGATTTAATCACTAATCTGATAATAAGAATTAGATAGGTCAGGGATCTATGCATTATGACAATCTTCAGTTGTATAGAAACAAAAAAAAAATCTGTTCCTACACTACTATTTAGTGTTGTATTAATGCGGTGGCATAGCATTTTTCTCATATGCAATCTTGTTTCTGATAGGATCTGACATCAGCACTGACAAAGAGGATCACTTTGAGAGCACCTTTTGTATCATCACCCATGGACACAGTGACAGAATCTCAGATGGCTATTGCCATGGCTGTGAGTATCTATATGATTGATTAAGTAACACTAGATTAGCAAACATGTAGGTACATATATTTGTTTAAAGGTTGACACAATGCTTCTCATTAACCAAGCATCTATGTGACTTATAATCCAACAAAAAAACAACAGAAAAAATCTTTATGATATCTTTATGTTTATTTTCTTGTTAATAAAATATGGTTTTATAATGCAGAAATGTCATTTCTTTCTGAATTGAACAAGTGCGCAGAAATAAATGAAATGTATGAATACCTTGTGTACATTAACATGAGTGTCGTAATTTCATTGCATATTGTATATGTTATTATACCCCCACACAACAAAGTTGTAAGGGGGTATACTGGAATCAGCTTGTCCATCCAGCCGTCGGGTGTCCGACTGTCCTTCGGCTTTTCCTTGGGGACCCAATAACATAAGATTCGTTTGACCCACAGTCTTCATATTTGGTATTGAGATTGGTCATGATTAGTAGACGACCCCTATTGATTTTCAGGTCACCAGGTCAAGGTCACAGGGCCTTGACTAAAAAAAAAGCTTGTCTGCTATATAACTTAAGATTCCTTTGACCCACAGTCTTCATATTTAGCATGGAGGTTAGTCATGACTGTTAGATGACCTCTATTGATTTTGCTTGGATGTTGATCTTGAGCTCCAAATGACCACTGTTGATTCTGACAAAGTGGTGTGCAGGAGTATTCACGCCATGTTTAGTGCTAGTTTATTTTGAAATTTAATTCATATTAATTTATTATGATATGTTACAGTTATGTGGAGGAGTTGGAGTAATTCATCATAATTGTTCAGTTGATTTCCAAGTTAATGAAGTGAGAAAGGTGAAGGTAAGCAACTGTTAATGCAATCTTAAGTGAATTCCTTTAATTATTATATGGGTAAGTTAAAATTTGCATGCCTGTATTGATTGGTAAAATTTTATTTTTTTTTTAACTTAAAAGTTACCAGGAATGAGAAAGCAAGTCTTAGTCCTTTAAATGGATATTTACCAGACAATTTTGTTTAAGTTCTTAAGATGTCAGTAGATAAGAGTTTCACTGTGGATTTAATTGACTTTTTTGCCTATGTTTATTTTATTTCTTTCCGCTTTTTGAAAAAAATGAATATGAAATATTAACTCACTTACTGGACACAATTTGTTCTAGAATTTATTCAAAGTTTATATTGTATACCTCATAGATAATCTTGAAGGGTGTGAATACAGTCTGTATTTGTTTCATCTAGTTGCTTATGATGTTTATATTTATTTTGAACAATTCTTTCATTTTTCAGAAATACGAGCAAGGCTTTATTGTAGACCCAGTTGTGATGTCACCTTTACATACAGTTCAAAATGTGATAACTGCGAAGAAACAATATGGGTTTTCTGGTATACCAATCACAGAGAATGGACATATGGGCGAGAAACTGGTTGGTCTTGTTACACAAAGAGATATAGACTTCCTGTCATCAGAAGATTATAAAACACCAGTTTCTGAAGTAAGTCTAGATAGTTGATGTTGATAAATACGTAAATTTTATATTAATGGGTAGATTTTGGGTAAAAATGGAATTGTATTTCAAGAGGAATTGGTCAATTAACCTTTTCCCTTATATAAGTGTGTTTCAACTTCCCCCCCCCCCCTTTGAGGCCTCAAACAGTGAAAAAATGCCCTATTTAGGCCCCAAACACTGTTTTTCATTTGAGAAATGTTAAAAAAAAGTGGCCACTTTTTGCGGCGCTGTCCCCAATTAAAATGTTACATCAGGGGGTTGCCAAAAGGGGGATGTGCCCCTTCTTTTTGGGGGGGGGGGTTGAAGGGGGTCTTACCCCTCTAGCCTAGGCAGTTTCTACAACCTAAAAAAAATTTGGCGATACCCCTCCCTAGCCTAGGCAGTTTTTATTGCACCCCCCACCCACTCCCAAGACCATATAAAAGATTGGACATTACAAGACAAACAGAATGGACAGAAAGGGGCAAGACCATATTTATAACTACATATGATCTTTCCATTCTGGTTAATAAATAGACAGAAAATGTAATTAAATATTAATACTAGGGATGTCATTTGGAGTCCGAATATCCGAACGTTCGGATCACGATTCGGTGTCCGGAGCCGATTTTCGGATCCGGATGTTCGTATAAAATATTTCAGAATATTGAGAAAATGTGAAAAATACATGAACATGCGTTGAGATAATCGACGTAGACATGGTGTTGACACCATATTGCATATTGTACCTTAATTTGACAATACACATCATAATCTCTGCAGACCACAAAAAAAATCAATAATTACTATAATAATTACGAGTCGTGTATGACACATGTTGTTAATCTACATGTATGTTAAACACCAAACAAATTTAAGTTTTGTAGGATTCAAGATGAATATTCTAAGTCCCGTGCGATTGTCATCGGCAACGATTTTACATTTTTGATATCCAAATTTAAATATTTTATTAGGCAATTTTTTTACATATATTTCGGCTTACTTCGTCGACTCCCTATTTTGAGAAAATGAAAAATCTGCAGAAAAAAAATTAGCAAATAAAGAAATGCACTTACGAATAGTAATATGTTAATTAACACAGCTTTTATTGAAATTGATAAGATAATTATCCGTCAAAATATCTTTCTCCTTTAGTATTAATCAAACATGTGCCTTTTTTTAAAAACAATTTTTTCACAGTTTTTTTTCACTTATGAACACTTAAAATATGTGTAATTCATGTAAGTTTCGGCAACTTCTTTGATGATCGAATCAAACAGCCAGGTCTACATGTTGGTAAACATCAAAGATTGGCAGATTCTTTTGAAAAGCCGGCTACACACCTGTATAAGGTCATCGTGTGTAAATTGTATGCAGGTTATTGAACAATGGAAACTTTTAATTTTTTACGGGTGTTATTTTGTTTTCACAAATGGGAGCAAGTGTTATTATCCCCCGCCGATGGAATCGGGAGGGGGATATAGTTTTGGCGTTGTCCGTCCGTCCATCCGTCCGTCCGAATTTCGTTTCCGGAGTAGTTCTCTGCAACTAATGGCTGGAATTCAACAATACTTTATGGGAATGTTGATGAGCATGTGAAGTTGTGCACCTGGGTATTTTCGTCTGGATATTTTTAGTATTTTTAGAGTTATTGCCCTTGACTCAGTAAAATTTTGTCCGAATTTCGTTTCCGGAGTAGTTCTCTGCAACAAATGGCTGGAATTCAACGAAACTTTATGGGAATGTTGATCAGCATGTGAAGTTGTGCACCTGGGTATTTTCGTCTGGATACTTTTAGTATTTTTAGAGTTATTGCCCTTGACTCAGTAAAATTTTGTCCGAATTTCGTTTCCGGAGTAGTTCTCTGCAACTAATGGCTGGAATTCAACGAAACTTTATGGGAATGTTGATCAGCATGTGAAGTTGTGCACCTGGGTATTTTCGTCTGGATATTTTTAGTATTTTAAGAGTTATTGCCCTTGATTTAGTAAAATTTTGTAATTTTCAACTTGTGTCGCATGTAGCTCAAAAAGTATTTGACCTAGAGTCATGATACTTTACAGGAATGTTGATCAGCATGTGAAGTTGTGCACCTGGTTATTTTCGTCTGGATATTTTTAGTATTTTTAGAGTTATTGCCCTTGACTTAGAAAATGTTTGCAATTTTCAACATGTGTCGCATGTAACTCAAAAAGGATTTGACATAGAGTCATTAAACGTTATTGGAAAGTTGCTCAGCATATTTAGTTTGTTCCTGGGGTTTCGCTTGTGGATTTATCCAGTATTTGTAGAGGTATTTCCCTTGACTTAGTAAAAACTGTTTCATTATGTTGTTATTTGATCCTTGAGTGCTTGAGTTAGAATCGACCAACTTTACAGGAATAATGATCAACATCACTAAATTACAGGAATAATGATTCACCTCACTGTGATGCTATGAACTTTGCATGTGGATTTTTTTCAGTTTTGTTAGAGTTATTGCCCTTGAATAACAGTAGTATAAATTTGCAATTTTCAACTTGGGGTTTGCTTGGGGATTTATTCAGTATTTGTAAAGTTCTTGCCCTTTACTTAGTAAAAAGATTTTTAGTTTTCAAAAAATATTTGACCTAGAGTCATAAGATTGACAGAACAGTGGCGCGGTGGGGGCACCCGTGTCCTATGGACACATTTCTAGTTTTTATTAAAGAAGAATTAAAATGATTTGTTACAATAACATTTAAAAATATTTGAAAATTGTGAGATCCCTTCTTGATGCCTTGAAAATGGCAATGGAGTCTGGAGATTAAGATGTTTTTACATCTAGGTGAGCTATTGTGATCCCCCACCGTCCATCGTCGTGCGTCGTCAGCAATTTCTTTAAACAACATCTCCTCAGAAACAAATGACTGCACAGCAACCAAACTTTACAGAAATGATCCTAGGGTGGTCCCCTTTCAAAGTTGATCAAATGGTTCCGGTCTGTTGCATAAGTAGGTCACAGGGCCAGAAAAGGAGTTTCAAAAATGCAAAATTAAAAAATCTTGTCTGAAAGTACAAGGCCTAGAGCTTTGATATTTGGTATATGATATAACCTATAGGTCCTCTACCAAAATTGTTCAAATTTTAGCCCTGGGGTCAAAATTGGCCCCACTCCAGGGGGTCATAGATTTTCCTTATATGTATATAGTGAAAACTTAAAAATTCTTCTTGTTTGAAGGTACAAGGCTTCAAGTTCAAAGAATATTACAGTTTATGCCATGATTAATATATAACAAAGCCTTATGTCTTCAGTTGTTGTGTTAATAATAACCAGTACTCGGCGGGGGATATAAATTCAACGAATTTGCTTGTTGTGTATTATAGCACTAATTAAGGAATTTAGACAATCGGCGATGAATTTCATTTTCATTTCATTTGAAATTGTAAGTATCATACACACTTAATTTATCGATAACAGTCATATTCTATATAGAAAAAATAAAATCAATACCAAAATTATTTTGATACGTAACATTCAATTAAAAAGGAAATGAAACGAAATACAGTTCAAATACTACACTTTGAAAAAGGTCGCGAAAAAATGGTTACGTCATATCAGCCAACTAAGAATATAACAACGATCCGAACATCCGAATGTATCCGGATGTTTGATTCGGATATCCAGATGGCCGTTTCGGCTCCAGATGACATCCCTAATAAATACCTTAGATACACTGTCCGCAGGTGCAAACATTTTACATGTTTTGCAGGTCATTTGAGTCACGGTTGATGAATCACCCATAACACTATCCAGGTCAACATGAAGTTCTTAAAGTTTTCAAGCTTGCAGTTACTGCCTTCTTAGACGTTTCCTCGATATTTGATTTTGATATTTTAGATGCAATAGAATCTCCATCAGATTTGTCCGCCGGCCGTTTCGTCATTAGAAAATTCGTTATAGACTTTTGAGACATTTTTACCTTGTTTATTTCATGTGGTAAAGTCAAGCATAATGGGCCACCTATATGACTGAAATATGACTGTTGGAAAAAGGCGTAAAATGAAACAAACAAACAAGCATAACGGGAATCGAATCTTCCAGTACATGTCTATTTATAAAGACCAATCAGAGACGGTTACAAAATTATCTACCAATCGTAATCGCGCGTACCGATTGACGTAATTTTTTTCACGAACATGCCCAAAAAATTGGATTTCCGCAATTGTATGCGCGAGATTATCTTTATTTTGCGGCGTTATAAGTTTTGTTTCAAATTTTACACAAACATTTAATTGTCATCAAACTTGGCCAGGATGCTTATCTAAGACATTGCTTGGATACGGTTGATGGGTCAGGGGAGCAGTCCGGGCCATCATGGCCCTCTTGTTTTATCAGTGGCCGATAAAAAAGGAAAATCATATTGAGCAATTTGTAGAAAACATTTCTCTTTGTTTGATGAAGAATATAAATTTACAGAATCGCTAAAAATATTTACCCTTCTCAATATATCCACGTGAAAAAACAAAATGTCAACAGGTGCTAAGGCAATGTACATAAATATGTCTTTGATCTTTTGTTAGGGCTGTCGTTCTTACGTCACGCTCAAGATGTTTGTATTGATTAACCTTTTACCCCATGAGCATATTGCGAAAAATGGCTGTTTTCATTGAAAAGCCTCCTGTAACAAGTTCAGTCTGCTATGAAACATGCTTCAATACTGATGAAACTATCAGTCTGTGCGAAAGTCTGTCGGTCCTCGGACCTTGCCAACTAAAAATAAGGAGGGCTGAGATGAATTTCGATACAGTCAGTCCTCATGTCCGAATAAAATTTCAGCCAGTTTGAAACAATTTTTGGCCTTCTAAAATTTGCAGAACTTCCAAGTTCAATCTTTTTTCTTTTTTTTTTTGCTTGTATTCACAGACCCAGATAACCAAAATCACTGCAAGATACAACCAGTTTTTGCTAAGTAGTGTAAGCCACCATCTTGTCTTGGATAATTTCCTTACCCAAACATATTTTTTCTCCAATCTTCAAAATTAAACCTTTGAAAGATGTATCGTTTTCTTGTGAATTATGCTAATGTTTTATCTATTATGTTTCTGTATATATTTTTTCAATAGTATCTTATAGTTGAGTCTGATAATTCATATTTGCTAAATATTTTTGTTTATAATTATGGCAATATCCCTCCCCCACCCCTACAAAAAATACCTTTCAGAGTCCGGGCCAGGAAAAAATCATCAAGGTCGGAAATAAATCTAAGGATCCCAGTCCTTGTGGCTGGAAATTTTTTTTGACGTTCGCATTGACTGAACTTGGCATAAATGTTGACTAGACCATAGCCTCTGTAACAGCATGCTCAATCGTAAATGTCCTGTTACCATGGCAACGGGGGGACGTCTCAAAATTGCCAAAAAACACTATTTTGCATTGTTTTTCCCATCAAAACTGATTTCAAAGTGCTGCAACTTTTCAATGAATTGAGAAAGAGTAAAAGGCTTTTCAGCGTCAGTTACTAGTTACCCTAAGATCGACATGAGGCCATTTTTAGCCTGTCACATGTCCAAATTTTTCTTCGCGCCTAAAAAGTGGTCACTTTTTTTAACATCATTTTTCAAACAAAAACAGTGTTTGGGGCCTTAATAGAAACAAAAAAAATCTGGCATAGCATTTTTCACAAATGCAATCTTGTTTTATGATTATATTTTAGGTGATGACCCCTTTTGAGGAGTTAGTTTGTGCTCCAGCAGGTGTTACACTAAAAGAAGCTAACCAGATATTACAAAAAAGCAAAAAAGGTAAAATACATGTCAACTGATATTTTATGCATGTAAGTTTGTATAAAAAAACAACTCCTTTATTAATGTATTATAATATATTAAAATAGTATAAATTCTTTAAATTTTTAACACTACTAAAATTTTCCCCAAAGTCAAGTTGGCTGAAATTTGTTTTGAATAATCAACTGACATACAGTGACTGATACAAAGGTCTATGATACTCTTTAATCTCATTTGCCACAAAGAGATAATTAATTAGAATTTGAAAACCAGATATCTGGCCATTCCTGTGTAATACGATCTGATAACAGCTAATTAATGGATGAACGTATTTTCCTTTTAGATGTCAATATACTGGATTTTCTATCAAGTACATATTATTGATAAATTAGGCTGGATAGGCCAACTTGAAAATATTGTTAGCTGTTATGCAACTATCTCAAGCAATATTCATTCAAAGGTAGTTTTTCCTGCTCTTTATGACAGTTTTCAGCATTTTTCTTCCTTTTTTCTCTCTGGTCCATTTACAATCTGAAAGGGCAAATACTGTTATTGTAAAGCTGACATAAAAGTTCCAATTTGCCTCATTTCACAACTCAAAAATTCCCATTTTGATAGGAACCGGACCGGTTCCCAATAAGGTGAAAAGAAATCACTTAGATTTTATTGTCATTTATTGACTTGTATCTAAATATATATATTTCATTGTTGTTGAAAATTTTCAGATTTCCACCCTGTACCATTATTAAATAGAAATGAATAATAAAAATAAAGATGACTACCAAACATACAGTGGAAAACAATATGCTGAGGATTATTTACAGAAATAACAGATGTAACACATTTGACCTTGTGAATTAAGTAATGATGTGATTGATTTTATATTTTGTCAGGAAAGCTTCCAATCATTAATGACAATGGTGAGCTGGTGGCGTTGATTGCCAGGACAGATACAAAGAAAAATAGAGAATACCCATTGGCATCCAAAGATGAAAAGTCAGTATATATTCAGATTATGGTTCCATTTTCATTCATGCTAAATTTACATACTTATATCATCTCTTTCGTTATTTGAGCTTTGATTTGCACTATGTTTAATTTGCAGCCTGATGGTCGAGTATACAACCATTTATCTTGTGGAATATTTTTGTAAAAGTTATCAAAGGCAAAATTATCATGTTTCCTTAATACTAGGGGCTATTCTTGAAATATTTGTAACCTAGAATGTCTCTATTATTAAAACATGTGAATATTGTATGTAAACAGAAAAAAAACATATGGAGCAAAACATTATTATTATACACATATTATTTTTAGCAGGGTTTTGACAGTTTAACAATATGCATAAGCCATTTGTCATTAAGGTAGTTTCTTTCTTATAGGCGTTTTGGAAGTATTATTAAACGAAAATCAAACAATAATTTTATATACTACAGGCAGCAGATATACATCTTTACACAGTTCAAGTGCTTATTAAAATAAGATCTTATCTGAAAACTTTGACTTGGTTAAGGAAATGGACGTACTTGTGGTTAATTTAATTTGAATTCCTTGCTTAAAGTAATTTATGTCTTCTCTAATGGAAGGTTGAGTAAAATATTACAAAAATTGGTTAAAAAAGGTTAAAATCAGCTGGAGAAAAATGGTTGTTGAGGGTAGAGTATCATGTTTATAAAAACTTAAATATTAGTTTTACATCACATTGCTTCCAAATGTTATTCTGTGAGATTTTAGGTGAGAACCAAGAAAATAAACATCTCTTGTTCTTATTCATTCTGTAACGGGTAGGCGCTGTCAGGATGTATTTAGGAAAAATATATATAGATCTATATGCAGAGGATGGCTGAGCTGTTCCTAAACAAAACCTGTGAGTGGATTTGACGGAATGGGCCAAATTCGAAACAGACGACAATAGAGAATTTAAACAACGATATTTATTAGTATTAGATTCTATGTATAATAAACGATGTATAAATAAATTAACTCTTTAATTTATATGAACAAATTTATGCGTTATTAAATTTATGTTATGAAAATTCGAGTAGAGTCTTATTGCTAGTCTATTATGTTCAAATGATTCCTGGCATAAACCAAAATGTATTTAGATTACTGCTGGTCAGTTCCTCCTAATCTGCTCCTGCCCCGTGGAATACAAGTATTCGAGATGTAATGTAATGTTCCGAAAGTTTCCGTTAAAGATTTCCGTTAAATTTATTAATGTGACTAATTTAGATGTTCTTGGCCGAATTTTTAAAAGAAAAGCTGTTGTGCTATGCGCGCGTTCCTATTTTAAATGCCCCGCGCCATAATACTTTTGGTTGAAGGCCGAATAGTGGTAAATTGGTAGTCCCAGCCAATCAGAACGTTCAATTGGTGAACGCCGTCATTCTCGTCCATCAAAAAGCTTTCCGGTTTTCCACGAAGAAAAGTGTGCATCCGCCATACAACTTAAACATCTCTCGTTGGAATTGATTTAGGCATGAAAAGTTACTCATATGTAATTATACGTCATATTTTTAAGTCATTTTATAATTTTAATTACAAACAATACAGTATTTAGCGTCTCTGAATGTTTCCCACAACACTGTAATTTTACGAACACCTTGATGTCACAGTTCGAATCATTGTTTCTAAATAGAATTAGCCTGCAACTTGAATAAATATGGGATTTGCGAACGAACAAGTTGGTTAACAGTAAGTGCATATGCTAATTAGTTGCCACAATAAAAGTTAAGTCTAGGGATTATGTTTTTGAATGAATTTCCGACATTGTCATTTGTTTTCGCTACCCGGAAGTATAAATTTACATTCAGTCAACGTACCTTGTATTTCTCAACAAAGACATTGTTAACTGTCACAAAGGACAGAACGGTATTTTGAACACTTTTTAATGTTCAAATAATAAAGAAGCAGGAATTGTATATGAGCTCACATTACAATTCTTTTACTAAAAACCAGCTGAAATTCCAAAATAAACTTAGCCAGCCATTTTAAGAAACTGTCCATTATCAATTTCAGAGATTCTAAGTTAGTCAACAGGACAGAGCCTGGTCAGACTTCACAGATGTAGTAATTAGTACATGTATATGTTTTCAGGAAGCAGTTATTGGTTGGGGCAGCGGTCAGCACACATGAGACAGATAAACCTCGGGTAGAGGCTCTTGTTAATGCGGGAGTAGATTTTATTGTTATAGTAAGTGTATTCTTTGAAGATTTTGTTATATCTGTTACCGAAATGTGCTTCATAAAATTTGAGGTGTAACTAAGTGTAATATTTTTGTGTACCTGATATGACAAAATAGTATTGTATGTTTAGCATTTATATTGCCTTTACATATTTTAACAAGTGATGGAAAGAAGGATCTTTACTTCATTAAGTAGTATTTTACGTCAATATTACTCACCTTTCTATGTTAGTGTAACACTTGATCAAGGTGCAGAGTTTATTAAGCATGAAGTTTGCACTTGTCACATGGGATCAAAATCATAGATCACTGTCCAAGGCCTATATCCTTAGCAAGGAAGTTACTAAAATATATACCCGAGGATATTCAAGTTTTTTATACAAATACAGGATAAATATTCATTGAGTGGTTTGAAAAATGATAATTTTTGTACCACAATATAAAAATAAATCCTGTGTTTATGGAAAAATAAACTTAAATTTTCTGTTTAAAATATACTTTTCTCTTTTCTTTTTTTACCAGACTTCCAATTAAATTTTGTGTATTGGCTATTTTTTTTAGAAGAAGTCGGCAACACCTCATTTATAATATGAAAAAAATGTTTCACTGCAATGAAAAATAAATTGTAACATTGAAAATGCATTTTATTTTATCAGCATTTCTCAGTATTTCATAAGTATAAAAAAATAATTTTTTATTGGATTATTTCAATTCTGCCACAGGAAGGCATTGTTTTATTAGAATGTTTAATTTATTTTATAGGACTCGTCTCAAGGAAATTCCATATATCAAATAGACATGATTAAATCATTAAAGAAACGATACCCTGACCTTCAAGTTATAGGAGGTAATGGTAAGCAGATCCTTTCATTTGTTGTAATCTTACTCTTTTTATAACATTAACAGAAGCTTTTAGAGTTTCTTTTCTCCAGACTGGAAAACACTTTTTTTTAAAGATTATATGAACCCCCTTTCCCCCCCCCCACACACACACACTCACAGAAATAATAAAGTAAATTAAAAAATAAAAAAAAAATAAAAAAAGAGTGATTATTCACAAGTGGGAAAATATTAGCATCTGAGGTCTTCATTCACAAGTAAAGCTGGGAAAGTTACAATTGTTTGACTAAAAAAAAACAACAATAAAAGTTACAGTTATTTGACTTAAAAACCAACAATCAACAATATTTCATAAACAACCTATTAATAGTGAAGGATAATCAGTATGCTTCTATGATTCTGTACCCAGGGTATGGAAAAAAGAGAGAAGAAATTGTATGTTTACTTATGGATATATTGTTTTCTAGTTGTGACTGCAGCACAAGCAAAGAATCTCATAGATGCAGGTGTTGATGGCCTCCGTGTTGGAATGGGGAGTGGGTCCATATGTATTACACAAGAAGGTAAGCATCTAATACAGAAGCATCTAATACATAGTGATGAAAATGTGCAGCCTTAACAAAATTCAAACTTGGAACCTTCCAATACCATTGTTGCTCTACTGGCATAACAATCCCGCCACTTAAAGGCCCACTATGCTTGAGGAAGGCTTTTATTATGCCCCCGAAGGGAGGCATATTAAAATCGCACCGTCCGTCTGTGCGTCCCCAGTTCATTTGTGTCCGCACTGTAACTTTGTTATACAATTAGAGATTTTGAAATAACTTGGCACAAATGTCTACTACATCAAGATGATGTGTCGAAGAACCACGTCCCTACCTCAAAGGTCAAGGTCACACTATCATTTTGAAGTTTCACATGATCGCAATAAGAGTAAATAGGTACACACATTCGTGTCCGGACTGTAACTTTGTCATGTATCTTATGAGTTTGAAATAACTAGGCATTAATGTCAACCACATCAAGACGATGTGTCATGTCCAAGAATTACGTCCCTACCTCAAAGGTCAAGGTCACACTAACATTTTGAAGTTCACTATATCACAATTAGAGTTTATAGGTACACACATTCATGTCCGGACTGTAACATTGTCATGCATCAAAATATTTTAGAATAACTTTACATAAATGTCTACCACATCAAGACGATGTGTCATGTCCAATAATCACGTCCCTTTCTCAAAGGTCAAGGTCACACTACCATTTTGAAGTTCACTATATCACAATTAGAGTTTATAGGTACACACATTCATGTCTGGACTGTAACATTGTCATGCATCAAAGGATTTTAAAATAACTAGGCATAAATGTCTACCACATCAAGACAACATGTAGCGATTAAGACTTATGTTCCTACCTTCAAGGTCAAGGTCACACTTATAGTTTGAAGGTACTCATTCTCTCGAGAAGAGTTTGAAGATACACATTCATGTCTGGACTGTAACTTTGTCATGCATGGAAGGATTTTAAAACAATTTTGGACAAATGTCTACCACATCAAGACAATGTGTCGCGGCTAAGACTCATGTCCGTCTGTGTGTCCCAACTTACACAACAATCATGTCCAGACTGTAACTTTGTCATGCATTGAGGGATTTTTAAATAACTTGGCACAAATGTCTATCTCATAACAACATTCTGTCGCGTCCAGGAACCACGTCCCTTCTTTAAAGGTTAAGGTCACACTTATATTTTGAAGGTTCACGCTATCGCAATAAGAGGTTACAGGTACAATAATACTAAGAACAATTTTAAGTAATTAGTTACTTTCATTCTCTTTTCGTTTCATAATTTTGGGGGCATTCGTCACTTTTTTTTATTTCTAAAAAAAGATTTTTAGTGTCCTGTTATAGTTTCAGAAAAAGTTACACATTAGCCAATTCCTCGAACCATTTTTTAACCAGGTTTTCCGAAGGAAAAAACTGGTTATTAGATTGAGGTATGTCGGCGGGCGGGCGGACGGGCGGCGCGGCGCGGCGTAAACAATTTCTTCTGTGCGCAACTCCTCCTACATTTCTCAACGGATTTTGACCAAACTTTCACAGAAGCTTTGTCATCAAGTGCCCTGGCGCATATTGTCGGGGTTTTGCGATTAGATAATATTTGACCTAATTATGGCCCTTTGTTTTTTTTTCCTTATATAAAATATATAGTGAACAATTTCTTCTGTGCGCAACTCCTCCTACATTTCTCAACGGATTTTGACCAAACTTTCTCAGAAGCTTTGTCATCAAGTGCCCTGACACATATTGCCAGGGTTTTGCGATTGGTATATATATTGACCTAATTATGGCCCTTTGTTTTTTTTCTTATATAGAATATATAGTGAACAATTTCTTCTGTGCGCAACTCCTCCTACATTTCTCAACGGATTTTGACCAAACTTTCACAGAAGCTTTGTCATCAAGTGCCCTGGCGCATATTGCCAGGGTTTTGCGATTAGATAATATTTGACCTAATTATGGCCCTTTGTTTTTTTTCCTTATATAAAATATATAGTGAACAATTTCTTCTGTGCGCAACTCCTCCTACATTTCTCAACGGATTTTGACCAAACTTTCTCAGAAGCTTTGTCATCAAGTGCCCTGACACATATTGCCAGGGTTTTGCGATTGGTATATATTTGACCTAATTATGGCCCTTTGTTTTTTTTCTTATATAGAATATATAGTGAACAATTTCTTCTGTGCGCAACTCCTCCTACATTTCTCAACGGATTTTGACCAAACTTTCACAGAAGCTTTGTCATCAAGTGCCCTGGCGCATATTGCCAGGGTTTTGCGATTAGATAATATTTGACCTAATTATGGCCCTTTGTTTTTTTTCCTTATATAAAATATATAGTGAACAATTTCTTCTGTGCGCAACTCCTCCTACATTTCTCAACGGATTTTGACCAAACTTTCTCAGAAGCTTTGTCATCAGGTGCCCTGACACATATTGCCAGGGTTTTGCGATTGGTATATATTTGACCTAATTATGGCCCTTTGTTTTTTTTCCTTATATAGAATATATAGTAAACAATTTCTTCTGTGCGCAACTCCTCATACATTTCTCAACGAATTTTGACCAAACTTTCACAGAAGCTTTGTCATCAAGTGCCTGGCACATATTGTCGGGGTTTTGTGATTGGATAATATTTGACCGAATTATGGCCCTTTGTATATTTTTTCCTTATACAGAATATATAGAGAACAATTTCTTCTGTGCTCAACTCCTCCTACATTTCTCAACGGATTTTGACCAAACTTTCTTAGAAGCTTTGTTTTCAAGTACCTGGCACATATTGTCGGGGTTTTGTGATTGGATAATATTTGACCGAATTATGGCCCTTTGTATATTTTTTCCTTATACAGAATATATAGTGAACAATTTCTACAGTGCTCAACTTCTCCTACATTTCTCAATGGATTTTGACCAAACTTTCACAGAAGCTTTGTCATCAAGTGCCCTGGCGCTCACTAAATTCCCATGTTTCTTCCAAGACATCATTCAAGTATTTTTTTAGTCCCCTACCGGTTTAACCGGAGGGGACTTTAGGTTTACCCTCCGTCCGTCTGTCCGTCTGTCTGTCTGTCCGTCTGTCTGTCCGTCTGTCTGTCTGTCTGTCAGTCTGTCAGTCCGTCAGTCCGTCCGTCCACAAAACTGGATCCCGCGATAACGCAAAAAGTACTGAAAATATTTTTATGAAACTTGATATATGGATAGATGGCAGTATGGAGATTATGCACGTCTTTTTTTTTTCTTCCTATGTTGAAAATTCTGGTTGCTATGGCAACAAATAGTCTGAAAATATGGCAAATTTAACACATAAACTGGATCCAGTGATAACTCAAAAAGTACTGAAAATATTTTTATGAAACTTGAAATATGGGTAGATGGCAGTCTGGAGATTATGCACATCTTTTTATTTTCTTCCTATGTTGAAAATTCTGGTTGCTATGGCAACAAATAGCCTGAATTTCAAGATTTCTGATTTAAATTTTTCAGCTTTTTCACTATATGTTCTTTATTTCTTAAGGTGTTTACTTCAAACTTTAAATATAAGTTCCTGGTCATCAACCACATCATATGTGACAAGGTTTATAACTCTAGCACAAAAAATATTAATATTACCTCCCTTGAACTTAGATTTTTTAGGGGAAAAAATGTTGTCTTTTTTAAATAACTTCTTTATTTCCTAGTGTATCTACTTCAAACTTCATATATATGTTTCTTATTATCACTCGACATTTTTGAGAAGGTTAAATACTCTAGCAAGACTATTTCCAGAATTATGTCCCCCTTGAACTTAAATTTTTTTCGAGAAACTGGTATTTTCACTCCAACTTCTTCATTCCTTATAGGATTTACTTTAAAATCCCACATCGTAATAATATGACAAGGTTGTATAAACATAATTTCCTTACTAAGCATGGAAACTTAACACATTACTGTGATATAAACAAACTTATTTTATTATGTTTTGTGGTCGATATTTTCAAATACAGACTTCATCCTCAAATTCATTATAAATGGCAATACACAGGAGTGTATGACAATTAAAGAACTTTTTGAGGGACCGGTAGGGGACTACTGTATTGCCCGCAATACTATCAAATGCTTGTTAAAATTGTGAACATACTTTTCTTGATATCGCACAAAACACCACACGCCAATATTGTTGACAAAAGAAAATGACAAGAGACGCAAAAATGCAAAAATTAAGCAAAAATAAAGTACTGTTTACCTTTCTAAAACATTTGGGAAAAAAAGGCGAATAGACAACATAAAATTTCTCAATCATTTTTGTTTGAGGAATATTAAAAAAGCCATAATTCCTCCTAAAAGTTCAATTAAAAACAAATGCCCCTTCATGACAAAGCTTCTGTGAAATATTTTGCTGAAAACCTGGTTGCATCGCATTGCGATGTTCCTTGTTTTTGCATTTGTTGCTTGTTGGCAATTAGAACAGTTATAATGATTTAGTATTTTGAATGGAAGTCAAAGTACTACTTTGTTTACATTTTGATACTTATATGACAAAAATTTCTTCATTCAGCGCTACTTTCTTTAAGTGAAAAGCATCAAACAATCTTTAAACCATTCTTGAAAAGTTATAAAACTAATGTTTAACAGATTTAGGGAAAGGGAAAAATATTCATTTCTGGGGCATAACACAATTGTTTTATGGGTGACACATACTGTTACATAGCTAAAATTTACATAATGCTTTAACAGGTTTGTTTGTATAAAAGGCTTGTCACCTATGTACTAATCTGTTTGAGAAAATACATTTGATATTATCTCATTAATTAGGAAGATCGATTATTTTAGGATGTGCCTTAATCTGATATATTACTTAGTTTTTTTGTTTTAAAAATGGGAAAGATTGATTGTAAAACAAAAATATTTCTGGATTCCATTGTGCTACCTGTTCAGTGTGTTGTATATGATAATTTATTTAAGTTATGGCTGTTGGCCGTCCTCAGGCTACTGCGGTGTACAAGGTAGCGGAATATGCTAGACGGTTTGGTGTACCGGTGATAGCAGATGGTGGTATCTCAACAGTTGGTCATCTCAATAAAGCTTTATCACTTGGTGCTTCCACAGGTTTGTACATAGTTATTAAATACATCTTTAAATAAAGGCTCTTTACAAATGTTAAATGCTTATTTTTCAGACAGGGAAAACTGACATCTATTTGGCAAGTAAGACCTTGACTTCTCAACCCCCTAAGATATTAAGATGACTTCTAGACCCCTTGACTCTTAGACCCCTTTTTACATGACTTTTCGACCCTAGTCTAGTGGGTAAGACATTTCGACTCCTATATCAATTTTTGTACTTGAGAAGGCCAGTATGATATTTCAAGAAGTAATTTAAGGCAGATAGCAAATATTTTAATTATTTTCATTACAAGATCCAACAAACTTTTGAAAAAAGGGAAAAAGAAATAAAAAACAATTGTTTTTAATTAGTTAATTGTTTTGTTACAAAGCATTATAATATACATTGTACAATCATGTTTTTTAAAGCTGGGGCATAATTTATTAATTTAGGTCTCGGTAAAGTAAAGGAATTATAATAATAATGATAATGCGTGATTTGTGCATTGCATGTTTATTCATATCCACAATTTCTATTAATTTGTAAAGATTTAGAGTATTTTTTCCGTGTGGAACACATGTATCTTATATTGGCGATGAATATTATTATATACATGTCTACTTAAACAATGTTATACATGTATATTAAATAAACTTGTCTGTAGTTTGAAGTTTCAAGTTCAAGTTTTTTATGGCATTTACATTATGAAAAAGAAACTGAAATAGCAATTGATCATTTATCAATTGCTTGTGATTTGTTCATGTTATTTCGAGAATTATATTTAATAACAACAATGTATATTAAGATAATGTAGTATTGTAGTTATATAGAGTGGGAAAAAAAATCATATAGTCTCATCTATTTCTTATATTGTAATTTTAACATAAAAAGTAAAGTTAATTTTCATAATCCTTTTTTAAATTGTTTACATCTTATATTTCATATATACGCATTTTTTCTCTCATAAGTAATATTTTCATCAACAAACCTAATTATGAACAAATCTTGATTTTCTTTCATATCTTAGAGTCAATATATGTTTCTCTTAATCTCTTTGTCTAAATCTTGGTAAGAATATGCTTGCCAAAAAAACATCAGTCGCGTGTCGGTGATTGAATTATTGGTAATTAACACCTGTGGAAAACACCCTGTAAATTATACATTTTTTTGTGCTAAATAAACAGTAGCTGCATTTTATTATTAACGGGGTAGGTTACATTACTAATAGCGCATTTTGTTTAGTTATTTTACTACCTTTTCCAAATACTTATATTAAAGTTCACATAAATTATAGATATATGTACGGCTCATGAAAGAGACAGTTCTTTTCTAACTACAATCAATTATTACTACAAGTTATCTAAAATCTGTATTTGAATGATGCATGCTCTTGCCTACACTGTAATGTGCTAAATATTGCTTTATGTGTTTATTACATCATAATAGTGTTACTTTAAAAATGGGATATTGTGTACACAGATATGATGTAAGATATTCAGTTTCTGATAGTCATCAAACTATATTATTTATTTCATGTATAACAATAACACACATGTATTTTCATTAAAAAAAAAGTATTCAAATAACCAATAAGTCTCAGATTACCTGAAGTGTATATGGACAAAAATGACAGCTTTTGCTTACAAAAATATGAATTACAACATGACTTATAGAAATGTATTTAAATAAAAAAAAAATGTATCCAATGTAAATTGTTATTACTGTAATTTATGAAAATATTTATACATATATACATACATAATATATTTTCTGTTTAAATGTAATGCCAGTGTCTCTGTTATGTTTACATAAAATACTTGACTTGAAGATTGATTATAAATAACAAATAAATGCAGATAATGTTTTCACTTTTAATTCAATATATCTAATAAATTAAACATATATGAATCAAACTTGTAAAAGAACCTCATTTTTTTTTCTGAATTAATGTCTCCATGCACATTTTTTTTTTTCTGAAATAACATCTTAATGTACATTAGAGAATAAGGGGTCGAAATGTCCAGTAAATTTAAGAGGTCTTAGGGGTCTAAGTGTCCTGGGTTGAGATGTCTTAGGTGTCTAGTGGTCGAGGTGTCAAGGGGTTGAGATGTCACAGAGTTTTGACCCAGACATGCCTTAAAGGCATGTGTATGTTCATAATTATTCTGGCTAAACTGGGCCAGGGGGTGAAGTTACCTTACTTTGAGCCGGGTTTTTTCACCGCTGCAGGTTTAAATCCTGTTTTGGACATTGAATATTTTCATTGGAGGAAGCTTGTCAAAAGGTGACATCTCATACATGAAATAGTGCAGAGAGGGCTGGTTGTCAAAGCCAATAGGGATAAGGAAGGAAATCTCCATATAATTTTAAAAATTGAATTAGTAATTCAAAATTTTCATTTTCCTATTTCATGATCAACATTTTTTGGCTTTTTGCCTTTTTATCACTAATTCAGTAGCAACGTTTCCAAGCATAAATCTGTTGTATGTTTTATATTTTAGTTATGATGGGATCAATGTTGGCCGGCACATCTGAGGCCCCAGGAGAATATTTCTTCGCTGATGGTGTCAGATTAAAAAAATACAGAGGTATGGGGTCACTAGATGCCATGGAAAAACATAGAGCTAGCCAGAGTAGATATTTTAGGTAAGAATTATCAATGTGGCTTAATGTGTGATGCAAGCAAGTTTCTATGTAATGTTTGTAAGATCTGCTAAAATTATTCTTGATGTTCATAATCATAGTCTCCAGTTTGTTTTCCCCTACATCTTTTAAATTCTTTTACTTTCTAGAACATTTACCAACTTTGTGTGAACATCTACTCGTGAACTTAGGTTTGCCTTTGATGTTTGGCTGTTGTAAGAGCAAAGAGTTTTGGGGAGTGTCATGTAAAAAAAAAATGGTGAAAAAAGGAAATGTTCAAAACTTTTAACAAATGATGAATTAAGCAATTTTAATCTATCAAGTAAAAATCAACTAGAAAAGATTGTTCTGATGAATGTTTTCATACAAGTATATTTTATTTTCAGTGAAAGTGACAAGTTGAAGGTTGCACAAGGAGTCTCTGGGTCCATTCAGGATAAAGGATCAATACACAAATTTGTCCCTTATTTAATAGCAGGTGTTCAACATGGCTGTCAGGACATAGGTTCTAAAAGTCTGTCACATTTAAGGTACATTTGTGGTATCATTATTTTATAGAGCAAAGGAATTAAGCTTAGTATATAACTTAATGTTTAGAAGCAAATTTGGGATTTTGCAAGTTGTAGCTCAATTGTTTCCATCTAGATTTGTTAATGAGAATGCAATACAGTTGCACAAATGTGAAGTTTGTAATGATTCTCTGCTTATTCATGCAATCTTATATTGGTAAAAACTGACAGTTATGTTATAGCACTGTCCACTGAAATGCAATATATAGTATTCTGATTCAAGTTATTGAAATTGATTAATAAATTGATGATAAAACCATTAATAAATTGATGATAAAACCAAAAATAAAATTATATATGATTTAAGAATACATCTGCAACTTTAAACAAACAGTAATTTCATGGCATATTATACTTTTACTGAATATCACAAAAGGTTTTGATTTAGGCAAATCATATGCTGTTGTATTTTCACGAGTTATCTCCCCTACATGTATTTTTGTGATAAGATTCTTTACAACATCTGCATATAGCAGACAGTTGTTGAATTTACTGACCCGGGAAATAGTAATGACTATTTCAAGTTATAAACATATAAATTAGCTACCACTGAAATGACTATTTTTCATAGTTTTTTAACTTGAGCAGACTTTAAATCAGTTGTCAGATGGACATGACTAAAGAGTACACATATTTTGTCACTTACAGATCTATGATGTATTCAGGAGAGCTGAAGTTTTGAAAGGAGAACAACTTCAGCACAGATAGAGGGTGGAGTTCATAATTTACACTCGTAAGTTGATTCTCAAGTATGCCCCCTAATTGTTAAGGTTAAAGAGAATTGAAAACAGACTTGTTTAATTGCATCTTAAATACAGGGTGACATCTGTCTATAGAAGAAAGTATATAGTAAATAGGTATAACAGTCAAAAAAAAGCATTTATAATTTTATTTTCATTTTGTTTGTGTGTCAGATGGGACAGAGGCAGTTATAGTTAAAAGGGCAATATTATTTGGGTGTATTATTATATTATATACATGATGGTATCTGCATGAGTCTTCTGTCTAATACTAGTTATAATATGGAATGACAGTAACATATGCATAGTTAATTTTACTTTTATTATTGTAAATATTTGTAGAAGTTGCATATTATAAACCAGGTTTTCCGAAGGAAAAAACTGGTTATAAGATTGAGGTATGTCGTCGGGCGGGCGGGCGGACGGGCCTTAACAAGTTCTTCTCTGCGCAACTTCTCCTACATTTCTAAAGGGATTGTGTTCAAACTTTCACAGAAGCTTTGTCATCAATGGCCCGGATATATATTGTCGGGGTTTTATGCTTGGATATTTTTTTTACTTAATAATGGCTCTGTTTTTTTTTTACATAAAATGTTATTTTTAGTGTAATATCTTTTTAATCACAACAACAACATTTAAACAAACTTTATATAGTTATTGAACAGAAACTATCTAGTTTGTTTTACGGCTGCCAGCTCATCTGCCTGCTTTTCGGTCCCCTAGGGTCAAGGTCACTGTTACTGAAAATAGAAAATTGGTTTCCGGTCAGTAACTATAGTTTTAAATGAAATATTCAATAAAACTTGGTATTTAGCAAGCTTTATGAAGACCTTGCTTTTGAGCCCCAAATGATCAAGGTCACTGTTACTAAAAATAGAAAATCAGTTTTCAGTCATTAACTAGAGTTTGGATTGAGATATTTCAATGCAACATGGTATATAGTTAGCTTTATGAACATCTCACTTATTGCTTTTGGGCCCCCTAAGGTCAAGGTCAGTTATTAAAAAATGGAAAATTATTTTCAGGTCAATAATTAGAGTTTGGAAAGAGATATTTCAGTGAAACTTGGTGTAAAGTAAGCTTTTGTGAAGATCTCCTTGGGATTGCTTTTGGGTCTCATAGGATCAAGGTCAAGGTTATTGTTACTAAAAGTAGAAAATCAATTTCTGATCAATAACTAAAGTTTGGAATGAGATGTTTTAATGACACTTGCTTTAAATTAAGCCTATGTGAAGACCTTGCTTAAGATAGCTTTTGGGCCCCCTAGGGTCAAGGTTATTGTTACTAAAAATAGAAAATTCATTATTTATGATTCACATAGTTACATTGTTTGTTATTTGTTTTTGTATTTCAACTACAATGGATCTTTCTACAATGGTATTAATTGAAAACCTGGTTTCGTGGCATTGCCATGTTTCTTGTGTTTATCTTAAATAAGGTAATTAAGTTGTGATTTGGTTGTTTTTTTTTTACAAAGATATGTTTTGGAATAGACAATTTGGCATGGTCAGAATCTTACCAACAATAAAATATGTCATTGTCTTTTTACATTTATTGATAATATTTTGTATGAAATGTAGGAAACTGATAAAAAAATTAAATTTAGTTAGGTTAATCAAACACTTCTAAGAGGTTTGCAAGGGGTTCTATTTACACATTGGTTTAAGTGTGGTGTATGTGTATATTTCATGAAGTGTGTTGCGTCTATAATTTGGTAGGTGAGTAAAATAAAGCGTGTATTGTTTTTCTTTGTTTTCTTACCGAGTGATTTCACATCATTCATCCCATCATGTTCAAATCAGTGTATAACAACACTCATTGTTTCTGCAGTCCCAACATTTTGAATGTATAGTTTGTGTTGAACATATCTTCCTTCCCTTGCTGATATGTTAGTTATGAAGTTGAACTGCCCTCTGTTACTTTATTTAAGGGATTACAGTATCAAATTCTGAAGCTAAATTATATTGCACTTGGTCAGACACAGAAAGGTTTTTGGTACTTTGTTAAATGGTTTAAATATTAAAATACTGTAAGTGAAATACCAAGTTTATATTCAGACAAGCTTGGCTCTATACACTTGTGACAAATGCAAGTTTGTTTTTTCTTGCCTAGCATTAAGTAGAATCTTGTAAAGGCATGTCCTGATGAAATCCACACCCATACTTCTTTACCTGCATGTCATTTAACTGATTAAGCTGATAAGAACAAGTTGTGTTTTTCTGTTTGTGCCCACACCAGCATCATCATTTTGGTCAAGTTATTTGTGTACTTCCCTACATGTCTACCGACCCCATTGATAATTAAATTTGAAATTTGGAATACCTGTTGATGGCTCTTAGCCTCACATTGAGTATACATAATTAATTATGTCCCTTTTCTATGCAAAAATATACTTAAATACGCTGGTTAATAGAGAGTTGTGTTTTTTTTTAAGTTGATTTAGAGCATTTCAGCCATTTCACAATGATGTTTAGTGTTTGTGACTGCAAACTGCTTAATTTTAGTGCTAGATACAGAGTTCTAGATTGTTTTTATTTCAGTATTATAATGAAGACAGTACTTTCTTATGTTACCTGTATTAAAACTGAATGGCATTGGAAAAATAACTATAGAGATGTAAATTTCTTATTCTCTTTAAATTGTCTTTGATCATTGAACATAACTTTTTAGAATCATCCACTGGAACATAATTTGTACACTTTTAAACCTATTAGCACTTAAGCCAACTAATACTTAACCTTAACCTTGTAACACTGACATTGACTTTCGACATTTGAATTTTTAGGAACAATTGACTTGAAAAAATAATTTGTTTACACTGACATTGATTTAATCATTTTAATTAGAGGAAGTGTTTTATTACATACAGTTAAACTTTGTTGCTCGAACTCGGATCGCTCGAATACCTCCTTTCGCTCGAACTTATCGCCCAGTCCGGGCAAAATTCCTATATAGCATATATTGTTCTACCTAGGATCGCTCAAACACCAATCGCTCGAATACTGATAACTCGAACTCTCGAACCTGATCTCTGGTCCCTTCGGCAGAAATATAGTTAAAATCACACCTTTTCGGTCAAACACAAAAAGACAACAAGTTGCGGTTCGACCAAATTTGCACAGACCCTCTGAGTTTGAGCAAACAAAGTGCGACTGTATTACACTTTTGATAACTTTTTTATTTTTATGACAAGCCTTTAAATATTTGTAAAAATTCAAATTAAAGTGACAGTCGCTTTATTTCCTAATATTTATTATATACCTGAATTGTAGTGACTTACTTAATGATATACTACAAAATACCAGGAAACTTTTCTGTCTTACATGCCTTTCTTTAATTTCACTGCATAAAAGAATACAACAATTGAAATTTAATAATCTTTTACTTATATACTTATATACTTACCTGTATTGAAATTTTTATGTTTGATTTTTAGATTTGAGCATATAGTTGCTGCTTCATCCTTTAATAGATCAGTCAAAGTAACCTTAATCACGAAATAGAAAAAAAACTATGCTGATATTTTAAGGAGACAAGCTTGTAGGGCCTTATTTCATCAGCTGATTTTTTGTTTTCAGTAAATAGAGGATATTGAATGAGTATAAGTTTAATACAGAATTTATTGAACAAGTTGAATAAAATTATATTATGCAAGCATATTATTTTATTCAACTAGTTCAATAAATTTAGTGATGAATTTACATGAATTTAATATTCTATTTATCACATACCAAACATTAAGCTTGTTTGAAGTGAAAAAGAACCATTTTTCATTGGCATGCCTATAGTACATTTAGCACATCTTAAAGCTATGTTTATATAATGAAAATGATGTCAGGTCAAATTATATTCATGGCCGCGCTATACCATTTTACGGAGTCGCAAAAGCGGCGCAGGTATGTGATAAAGATAATTAAGTGATTGTTATGCTCCCACAACTTAATAAGTCCTCAACTTCTCTCATGTGTTAGGGGCATATAGATTTGTGTTTGTTAATAAGGTTTTCAACGAAAACCGGGTTATTGTAATGCTGAAGTCGGCAACGGGTGGGCATCAACTTTGGTTTCCGCTCAATAACTTAAGTTTGCTAAGGCCTATTGATACCAAACTTGGTGTATGGGTAGCATATATCAAGAAGCAGCTTTGGATTGCTACCCAGGTGTCTGTGATCAAGGTCACTGTTGCTGAAAAATTGAAATTCAGTTTTCGCTCATAACTTCAGTTTGCTAAGGCCTTTTGACACCAAACTTAGTGTATGGGTAGCTTATATCAAGACGCAGCTTGGGATTGCTACCCAAGTGTCTGTGATTAAGGTCAAGGTCACTGTTTCTAAAAATAGAAATTTAAGTTTCCGCTCAATAACATTAGTTTGCTTAGGCCTTATGACACCAAATTTGGTGTATGGGTAGCTTATATCAAAAGACAGCCAGGTGTCTGTAATCAAGGTCAAGGTCACTGTTGCTAAAAATAGAAATTCAGTTTCCGCTCAATCACCAAACTTGGTGTATGGGTAGCTTTTATCAAGAAGCAGCTTTGGATTGCTACCCAGGTGTCTGGGATCAAGGTCAAGGTCACTGTTGCTGAAAAATTGAAATTCAGTTTTCGCTCAATAACTTCAGTTTGCTAAGGCCTTTTGACACCAAACTTAGTGTATGGGTAGCTTATATCAAGAGGCATGAAAATACAGCCAGACATTGAAACTCAGGTATCTGGTATATTTTTATTAGTCCCCTACCGGTTTAACCGGAGGGGACTTTAGGTTTACCCTCTGTCCGTCTGTCTGTCTTTCTGTCTGTCAGTCCGTCAGTCAGTCCGTCCGTCCACAAAACTGGATCCCGCGATAATGCAAAAAGTACTAAAAATATTTTTCCTATGTTGAAAATTCTGGTTGCTATGGCAACAAATAGTCTGAAAATGTGGCAAATTTAACACATAAACTGGATCAGTGATAACTCAAAAAGTACTGAAAATATTTGTATGATACTTGAAATAT